AAAAAATTGGTAAGCTGAGGAGGGGTCATGCGATTTTTAAATGGTGCTTCCCAAATCCCACCAGCCCCCCCTCCCTCATAAAAAATGAACGGTCCCTTACTGGCTTAAAACCTAACAGGAGAGTAACAACATAAATTTAATCAATTTTTTTGAAGTAAGTGTGACTAATTGTTTTGTGTTTTGTTGTTTCACGCAAAGGTGCTATCGCCAGCAGAAGTATTCCGTGGTTCGATATCATAGTAAGTGTTCCAAAAATGAATCAGTTCAGCTTTTTAATTGGCTTAAAAAGTCGCGCCACTTTGTCATCCAGTCAGAACTAAAACCAAAATCAATCGCGACTCGCTCGCGCACGTTTTCCCGCACTTCTCATCAGCTACATATATTGGAGTTTTGATTGGTTCTCTGGTTTGCCTGTGTCCTTTGTGATTGGCCAGGGTTATTACTGGTTTTGGTTTTACTATACTCAACTGAAAACCGCCTTAAGCTTTTCACGATGTTTAACTTAATTTGGCTGCTCTTAAATTCTTACATACCTTTTATTGTGAAATTTTGTGTTCCTTCTTCGCTATTTCGAACATCACAAGAGCATAACATGTTTAATAGCAAAGTGGTTGTGCTCTCTTCATAAAATAAATTTCGTGAAACTTGTAAAATGGTATCCGTCGAGTTTTTAACAGAGTGGCGCTACTAGTTGCTTGGCAACCCTCTCTTAATCTCCGTAGTCTTGGGAGCCGGAATTTGCTATGAAATGGCGGCAAACATCAACTGTATACTTGTACCCCAAACGTATCACATCTAGGACTCAAAATTAAATTATATTTTCTGGGTTCAAAGTTTAAATTTTGTTAGCTTTTCCCTTTCTTTTTGTATCTCTCTTGTAACACCCTTTTGCCTACTTTTCTCATTATATTAGATATTACAGCAGAACCTGAGATACAAGTTGATGTTGGCGAATGCAGAGCACGAGATAACTTGGTATCTGAACAAGAACAAGAACAAGCCAAATGAACCCATAGCATCAGTCCCCCAAAAAGATTTTATTATTTTATTACCTTACATAGGTCTCCATAGAAATCATATTACTAAGCGTCTAAAATCTTGTGTAAATCGTTTCTACTCTTTTGTTAATATCAAAGTTTATATTTTTCAAAACACCCGGCGCACCAAATCCTTCTTCCCATACAAGGACCGTCTCAACCGATCACAATTATCGGAAGTCATTTATAAAGCTAGTTGCTGGGACTGCAATGATTTTTACATTGGGAAAACGAAACGAAGACTTCACGACGGGGAAACGGAACGTTTCTAGGCCCTCTTGAAACTTGATCACTCTTCTGCTATTGCTGATCACGTTAAAACAACTGGTCAAAACATCAAATGGGACCATTTTGACATTTTGACGTCCGCCAAAACTGACTACCATTGTAAGATTAAGGAGACCTTGTTTATTCAGGAGTTGCAGCCAGCATTTAATGCCAATGTCAGCAATGAAAAGCTTTTACTTTATTAGAAAAGCTTTTCCATTGTTTCACTTTACAGACAGTTTCCGTTTGAAACGTCTTAAATTTCTACTGCAGATGTTTTCTTTCTAGGTTCCAGACCCCCATTGATACAGAATAAATAGCTTTTCAAAAAAAAATTGTAACGGTCATACTTTTGAAAATATATGTTGACTAGCATACGAAACGTCAAGTTCATAAAAGCATGTTTTTAAAATGTTTATCACCGCTGTTTGTGTTATACTTTTAATGTAAACCAGTTAGTTTTGAAGTTATCCATTATCTCATGTAGCGGCCAAGAGATGGAGACTTGAGGGAGAGAGGGAGAGGCACTCCATGCTAATCTCTTGAGGTTTCTATCTTTCTGATCTCAGAAGCACCTGCTACAAAAAATAGTTGCCTATAAAAATAAATAAAAATTGCTAGAGGGTTTATGGCTTAAAGTCTTTTTTTAACTGCTTTTTTCCGAAATGTCTTTTTTTAAGTCTCCAAACCAAGCGATAACAAAGCCAAGCAATGATTGTGTCCCAAGTTCGCTAGTTATGAAGCGCGTTCTACTCTACCACACATTCATAGCGGAGATGGAAAGAGTTCTGACCTGTCAGAAGGTGCCTTCAACCTGTCAGCGGCTTCCGCGCATGGTCACCTACTACCCTGGCACTATGTACCGCCGCACTATTGATGTCGGGGCATGCGAGGGACTGTGCCGAGACAAGATGGCTTGCAAAGCAACCAGAGTCACTACATTCGCACCGTCCACTCCCAATGGTAAGAGGCGCCTCTTGAATCTATTTTAAAATGGAGCCTGATTTATCTGAAACTTTTGTGCGAGCTTGATTTGCATGAAAAAGACCCACCCCAAATGAGTAGAACTCATTCTCAAATTGTCCCGATCAATATTTTATTTTTTCTAACAATACCGAAGCATTTTTGACCAGAATGGTGTCAAGCTAGAAGAAAACTACTTTGTTACTTCGAAATAAAAAGTAGTTAGTTACCATTTTCCCGCTATTTACTGAAGCACTTAAACGTGAAGCCTGAGTATATGAGCTCTGGATGAATTAAACTGATAGCTAAGAATTAGTCAAATCGTTTTCCCCAGACCACTCTGGCCTAGCTCTCTCCACCAATCCCTGTAACGCAATAAGGAGCCTGTTCATAGGCTGCACCCTATTCAAACTCTCGTAGATGTCATTTCATTAATTAAAATCGTTTGTGACAAGATCTGGAGACTGTCTGTTCTCATAGGTAAACGAAGCATTGAAGTCATCCAGGACTGCTCATGCGTGATACCTTACTGTTACCGAGTGTCAGCATTTGAAGCGTTCCCTGAACAGTACACTGATGCCAAGGGCGAAAACGCGGTCCGGACCAAGGTGTGTATGTAAAAATATATCGGGCGAACAAGAAATGCTATGGGAAGAGGCAGGAAATAACTCGTCAAGATTTGATTATATCAAAATGTAAATTTTCATTTCTACGAACAGTTTGTGCTGGTTCTAGAAATTTTTAGAAATTTGGTTTCTGGAAATTTTGCAAAGCGCGAAGGCCTAAGTAAGAGTTGAGTGTTAGTGTTTTGCTTTTTTCTGTTTGAGTAGCTTTTTTCTGTGTTAGTTCGTGTAAGAGATGACAACAGGAGACAAAGGTAAACTATCCGTTCTTTTCATTCCGTTTATATTCTTATCCTACGCAACTAGAATGTATGCTCCCTGTCAAGTAATAGATTGAAGTACGGCTTTGAGCGCTCGCTTCCGTACAAACTTTTTTCTTAACTGTTATTCAGCTACATAGCTAGCTATATCTTAGGGTTTGAACCTAAGGCTGATGACACAAAGCACAACAACATGGTTTCCGGTTATTTGCCGCCAAATTGCTCCGCGTTGTCACAGCTACAACTGTGTCCACGCTAATACTGCAATTCAGTCGAGAAATTGTTCGCGATGCTGACCTCAGTTTTCTTAATTTTTTTTTGTTAGCTCATCGATATGGGTAAGTGTGTCGACAACAACCGCTGTCCAATCCAGGAGAAACGTCACTGGTGAGTAGCTTGAGATCGGCCGATGATCAGTCATTCCAACAAATATAATAAGAAATATATGGGATTCATATTGGAGAACTGTTTCTTTGCATCGGATTATGAAGTCATGTTTTGCAGTGCAAAGTAATATATTGCCTCTAGAATTGCCAAGGCGCAAAACCACGATAGGGCGGTTACACAAAACCAAAGCAAGAATGAAGTTAAGATTAAGACTATTACGAACTTTACACTTGGTATGAAAACTTTTGGCTTTCATAAAAGAAATAATCTCGTAGTGGCTTGTGGAAAGGGACAAAATAAAAGATGAGAATCTTTATTGTTCCAGTAACGATCTCACAAGCGACTTTTGCGAGATGAGACTCTCGCCAGATCTCTTCTCGTTTCTAAAGCTGGGAATTTACGTCACCACGGAACGCTCACAGCCTTTTGTTTTTTTACAGGCCATTTACATTCCCAAAGGTGTTTCATATTCATCGGGAGATCAGGTGTTCCAAAAACACAACTAAAGTACAGTCCTATGTGGCAATCGGAGGACGTCAAGTGAACGTGGCCACGATCAACACTTGCTCGTGCAACTGAGAGTAGCAACTGAGTTTCGCCATCCTCATCAATGTCCCTAGTGACTTTTAATGTTTGATTTTCTAGCTGAAGCAGTGTTCAGATAGAACGGGGGGACTTAAAATGCATGAAAGTTCAAATCAGAATGTCTCATTACATAGTCATCATAGTTTGCATAGATTCACCTAAAATTTAATTAACAGGAAACATTTTTGACAGAATACGTCTTGTTCTCGAAATATATACACCCGTAGCAGCAACATTTTAGCTGGCAGATTTTTTTTTCCAGTGCCTTTACAGGCAAAGTTATTTGGCTTATATTTTTATCGATTCGTTTTTATTAGTTTTGAATGAACTCAGGAACGATCCGCAAAACGGTGAAAGAGTCTGATCAATGATGATGTCGGCTAATGAATCATCGTGCTCGTACGATTTGTACCGTTAAGAAACACTTGATGTCTATTTTTTGCTGAAGTAAGCACCAGTTTATTTGCAAACGAAATCATTAAGAATCCATTTATATGACCATCAGCCATTTGTATTGTAGCTAGACTACCGAAATCATTTTTTGTAATAAAAACTCAGGTAGACGTAAACAATTAATGGTGTCCATTCATCCCTTGCCGTCATGCGCGTGGCCTCTTACGCAGCGCAGACGCTCTTTTGGCCTCGTCACGCAATCTTCCTCCTCCTCGAACGTGGGGCAGGAAAATTGCGTGACGTCTGCGGGTGCAAGGGGTCGGGAACCTGGGAGTAAACGACGGCTACCCGTGGGGTTTTCAAGATAGTGGAAACAGGGAGATTAACGGGGAGAATGAGGATAAGATCATTTGTACGTTGCGTTATGGCCATAAGCGAAAAACAACAGAAAAAGAGGGAACCACGCCAGGGGTTTCAACGAGTTAAAAATACGGGAAGGGGGAAGCTTCGGAAAGACCCCTCTCCTTTCCGCGCTGGGACGTTGTTCATGCCTGAGCCAGTTTGGTCACGTTTCCCGCCGAAAACTGCCTACAAAGAAATCAAGCGTGGCTAGTGAAGATAACTACCTTGCTTGCTCTGAACACAACCTGTGTGTGAAACTGATCAGTTTTGTTCAAGTCGAAATCTACCGTCACTTTAGCAATTGTTATTTAATATATTTCCGACCCTCACGCTGCACTGATTCCTCCGGCCAGTGAGAAGAGTTGCGTGACGGTGTAACGGAAGGAATTCATGAAAATACAAAGGAAAGATTTATGATGTAGGCTCTTTATATGGACATAATGTTGTCGTAACCCATCCACAAATCTCTTTGCCCAGTTTCCTTGTTTAAAGAAGGTCAGTAAAAATATATAAAGGATCGAGCTACATCTACCAGATCAGAATGTATTAAAATCAAACTGATATAGGAAATGTTTCCCCGACCCGCTTACCAAATGTAGAAGTAAAAATCGAACAAACATGCCAGTGAGGTTTGAAGCTTACTTGAAGCTATGTTTTCACTAGGGTTCTCCTTCGGTGATGTCCATGTTGTAGTCTCTTTCGCAGCCAATATCTGGTGTCGTCGTTCTCTAACTAACTGGTGGCTGGGAGAAGTAGCGTTGCGTGACGAATGCTGCAAATTAAACCTAATCTCTTTTGACGTCCAAAAGTCTATTATTCCGTTCAAAACATTCAGTTTTTTTATATTCCATTTGACATATTGGACGAAAACTGATCGTGCGACCTTTAAGACAAGAGGAACAGTGCAGTGGAACTCTTCAAGGAGGGGGGGCATTGGGGTCTGGAAACCCGCAAATCCTTAGAAAAATTCATCCTAAACCGCCAAACAATTCGATCAAATACGAAAACCTAGTAAAATACCTATAAAGGTAAAGTCTGCATACGAGCCGAGTG